TCTCTCTCTCTCTCTCTCTCTCTCTCTCTCTCTCTCTCTCTCTCTCTCTCTCTCTCTCTCTCTCTCAAGCTATCAAGCTACCATTTGTCTCTATTATACATGTGTATGCCTGTGTGGTTATGTGTGTACTACCCTACTCACCCCTTGGCTGACAAGTACAAACATCGAGAACAAGAATGTTTTGGGCAGATGGAGTGGCTGGCCAAGAATGTTTTGGGCAGATGGAGTGGCTGGCCAAGAATGTTTTGGGCAGATGGAGTGGCTGGCTGACTGGTTGGCAAAAGTTTCTGCGGGGTGGGGGGTGGGGGGGTGGGGGGGGGGGGGGTTGCGGAGGGGGGGTGGAACCAGTAGTTCACTTTATTGCATCAAAATAATTTCGTGGGCTGAGGACTCTGAGGAGCGCTGTTTGCACTTTAAGCGCAAAGGTACTGTGTGTTGTGTTCGTAAGCCACCACTTTCACGGACCTATTGTGTCGAATCCGTTATTTTTCAGGGCCCTCGGGCACCAAACCGAACACTTGCAAGTTTAATGTGTCAGAGCAGGGTGGGTGGGGGAGGGGGAGGGGGAGGGGGAGCAAAACCGTATGTGTCCGGTGCCTGCCAAAAAGAATTGCCGGGCTTTGTTCTTTTTGGATTCTTCCTAACGAAGTTTCGTAATGAAGTGGCATGTACTGTACTCCACAAAGACGATGTGTGTTTGAAATTTCCTCGAATGGAGATGAGAAGGGGAAGGTGGGACACTGGAATCTTTGTGAATCTTTGTGTCCCCCCTCCCCTCCCTGCCTGCACCTGGTACGATGAACCTGGTGGGTTTAGTGTCTGGACTGTTCTATGCACCAGCCAGCACAGGGCGGTGGTTGTGGCCAGTGGTGGGCTTAGTGTCTGGACTGTTCTATGCACCAGATGCATTTGAAGTGCTCCAACTTGTTGAATGCATAAGGACTATTTCCAGATCCAGATACGTTTAGAATGTCGCATAGTGGAGCGAAGCTCGTCATCCATGATTGAGACTTTGAAAGCCAAATGACCCTTTCAGTGATCGGTTTACTTCACATGAATTTGATTAATCAGTTGATTGGTTGATCAATTGGCTACCGTCTTCCTTGGAATAAATACATGCGATCTTTATATCTGTATTTGGCCCATCTTTCAGTCCAGATGCGGCGAAAATGGCATTACATTCTAGTTTCGGGTTTCGCCGATTGTGAGTAATTAAGGGTATACAATACTATACATACACTATGACTTTTCTAACCTATCTGTGGATGTAATTGCGGTCAGGTGCATACAGGCCTGGTCGTGAAAGCGGTCAGATGCATCCAGCAAAGTCCTAGTGTCAGTATCCCCTAATTGGTTGATGGTTGGTTTACTGATTGACGTTTTGATGGTGGGGGGTAATAGGGGTATGGATAGGGGTCTCAAGTCTCGACAATCAAATTGGCGCATTGAGGTGTGATCCGTAAATTGAACACAAGCATGCGTGCACTGGTTGGTTGGTCAGTTGATTTTTCTTTTTTCTTTTTTCTTTTTTCTTTTTTCTTTTTTCTTTTTTCTTTTTTGATAGGTTGGTTTTGCTCTCCTTTGGGGATTGATTGACAACAACACAAAAATGCTTTCCTATTGTATCGAACTGACATGCTCTTGTTGTTTTTAATTGCACTGCTCTGAAATGCTTTCCTATTGTGTCCGAATGCCACGCACGCTTATCGTGACAGTACCTAACCAAGAAGATAGCTTGTGTACATTGAACATTCATGATTAGGCCCATTAGGTTGCATTGTGTTTGGCGGAAGACGGACATGCTTCCTGTACTCATGAGACGTGGGGGGCATGGTTTTCAGATCAATGCCAAAAGTGTATGGAACCGGACAAAAAAAAAAAAAAAAAAAAAAAAAAAAGGTATTGGTTGTACCCGTGCGTTGTTCATTCACGTATGTCCTACCAAACCATCTTCGCCCGAACGCAACGGCATGCTTATCTTGACAGTACCTGACCAAGAAGATAGGTTGTGTACGTTCGTGAATAGGCTCATTAGGTTGCATTGTTTTTGGGGGAAGACTTTGTGAAGTGCTTCCTGTACTCATGAGAGGTTGGGGGTAATGGTTGTTTTCAAATGAACGCTAATCGTACAGGTTTGCTATGTGGAGCCGGGGATTGCCTCGAGAGAGGAGTGGGAGCAGCTCAAAGAGCTGGACAGCATCCTGCAGTTGTATTGATGTGAATGCCAGAGCATAGCACATCAGGAGTTATGCTCGCTTTACGCTTTTATCGTCATCCCCTTCTCTCTCCATCGAGAAGACTCAGTGGCACACATATACAGCGGTGAGGGGTGGGTGCGCTAATACAAGGGGCCTACATGCATCCTGCTGAACATCTGCATCGGCGATCGACAGCTACTTCGAGAACGTCAGCGGAAAGCGCTGAAGCCTCGTCAACTAACTCTGTGCACTGTTATGATTCTTTGCGATCTGCCACCCATGTGTAAAGGAACCAACAATTCTAAGGTATGATCTGCTGCCAACTTGTCCGAAACCATCTCTCCGCGGAGTCCTCACCCTTAGTGCGACTGCTCGCCTCCGCTTGTTACATGCAGTAAAGAAAGGGAGGGGACACTTCGCCCCCCTCACTTTGTTGTAGCAATATGAGTTATCTTCTTGTAGGCAGTATGGAGGCAGCTCAGGGACGTGTCAGACACGATCGATTGAACGATTGAACCGATTGAACGCTCCTCACAGCCAGTGAGAGTGCGGTGGCTTTGTACATGTTGCGAGTCTTGCGACTTAGTGACGCTCGTGGTGTTTGCGCGGTAAGGACAAAGTTTAAACTTTTGCCTGTTTTTAGGATGATTAAGAACACTTTTGTTTTCTTTCTTTCTGTGTTTTTTTTTTTTTTCTTTTTTTTTTTTTCGGGCTGCAGTGGCGCGTCCCTGACAGCTGCCACCTTCTGCGGCTCCGGTTGGAGTCCCTTGTCTGTCACCACGTGCCCCAGGAAAGAAATGGTGGTGAGGAAAAACTGACACTTCTCAAGCGCCACCTTGAAACCTGCATCTCGTTACGCATGCAGTGCCCATTCGATGTGGTGCACGTGTCCCTCGTAGGAACTCGAATACACTAGGATGTCATCCATGTATTGAGCCTTGAATTGAAGTAAGGTAGTGATTTAATTTGCACCGCTTTTTTTTTGCTTTTTTTTTTTTTTTGCTGCTCTAGCATTCAGTTGGTTTGGGTGAGAGAAAAATGAATGCTAGCGCAGCAAAAAAAGAAGAAAAAAAAAGAAAAAGAAAAAAAAGCAAAGGTTCAAATTTGGAGTAAGGAGGTTGAAATGGACTACTGTAGGAGACAGTTTTGCTTTGTGGTGAGAGAGTTTGAATTCCAACAAGAAAAGAAAAGGGGAGAGGGAGGGAGGGGGGGTGAGCAAAGGAATGAAAAACAACTTTGTGGTGAGAACAAATTAAGTTGATTAGGGAGGGAGGGGGGGTGAGCAAAGGAATGAAAAACAACTTTGTGGTGAGAACAAATTAAGTTGATTGTGAATCAACGAAGGGCAACTGCGCGAAACGGGGAGTTGAAGTCTCTCTGAGAGTCATTCAGCTAGCTTGCTCTGTAAAAAATGGGAGTTGATGTGTTGATGTGTTCATTAAGTCGTCCTGCCGCTGCTACGGCAAGTATGGTTAGTTCGGCGGCCAAACTGTACACAAAGAGTAGTGTATTGTGAATCAACGACAAGAGAGCCATTGGCTGACGAATGATGTCGAGATGGAGTTTGGGAAGATGTCATGGTGATGAAGTCAGGAGGAGGAAGAAGACTAAGAAGAGGAGGTGGGAGGAGGTGGGAGAAGAGTAGAAAAGATTAAACACAGAGTCAGAAGTTGGATTAGTGATCATGGGGGAGAGAGGAAGAGAGGGAGGGAGGTAAGGGCCTCCAGCAGTGATGTTTGTATACAGGTCGATTCTGCGGGGGAAGTAATGTCATGGATCTGAAGATGGAAGATCATCAGGAGTGAGGTTAATGTAATTGTATGCTTGCGGTGAGCGAAGAGAGCAGCAGGGGAAGGGTAGGGCAGAAGTCGAAGCCGGTTCAAGGACACGGACCAGACACAAACCGAACAGAAAGTCGATCCAAGCCTCGCTCGGAATGACAGGAAAGAGGCGCAGAGGGTTCTTGGTATGGACCTCCGCTGTCATATATTTTGGGCATATGCTTGAACCTTGGGCACTGCGAACTTGTGTGAAGAAGGTGCATTCTGAGCAACAACAACCTTCTAAGCTGAAGGTCACTGGTTCAAATCCTATCCTGCTGAGTTCTTCCTGAATTCATAAGTTGGTCATACCTTCTGCATGCTTCATGAACCTTTTTGGTGCTGTCAAAGGGATGTAACCTTCTCTGTGTCTCCCCGCCTTAAAGGCTTACACAAGATAACCAAGCATGCAGAATTGAACTGTTTACGTTCTCAAATCCTATCTTGTCTATTATGGGACAGGAAAGGGAAGGTTCTGACTGAGCAACAACGCAACCTTGCAAGTCGAAGATCACAGGTGCAGGTACTGTGCAAGGGGATGCTGAATTCTTTTCTTAAAGACTCGAACTGAAAAGTTTGAAGATTGCTTGTCGAATTGTGTAAAGGGGTGGCATGTTGTTCCCCTCTGTTGTTATGGTCACCCGGGGACATACCGCCGTTATTCCTAGGGTCTGTGTGAATAGATAGATCCAGGGGTATCTCTGAACAAGTGAATAGATAGTAGGGACTGTGATCGAAGGGTATCTCTGAACAAGTGAATAGATCGTAGGGTCTGTGATTTTGTCAGCTTTGTCTTCTTCCACTAAAGGGGATACTCGTGTGGGGAGTTTGCTGAATGTATCTGAATGCTTTTTTACGGCCGCGTCTGGACTCTGGATGCACCTGACCACAATTTTGTCTACAGATAGAAGTTGAAAACGTCCGGGTGTGAGTACGCCCTACCCGAGGGCGTGATCTACCGTAAAGCACGGAGCTGGGCGACCTGCGTTAGGGCGAGTTCCAGCCGCAGGGTGGCCTGTCTGACATGCTGAGCTGCCGGTTTGTCTAGCAATCTCCTCCTGAGGCTCCTGTGCCTTTTCACTTTATTTGTATGCATGCCATCTTTCGGGTGCGTGGGCACGACAAGGCAATTGCCGTCTCGTCCCACGAAGAGAATGTGCGCAGATAATGATTGCTGTTTCTAGACTGGAAGTTTGCCCAAAATACATCCGATTCGGGGAAAGACAGCACAGCACAGCATAGCACAGCATAGCACAGTACAGCACAGCACACAGCATAGCGTGGTTATTCATGTTTGTTTGTCCGGAGGTAAAGTCTTTGGTGTGAATTCTTCCTTGGGGATGGCTTTAAGAGTTTTAAGTCTTTTGGTGTCAATTCTCTCTTCTTCTAGTGATGTGAACAACCCCACCGCTCGTGTTCGAAGATGCTGCAATGACTGACTGTTTGTTCTTGGCTTGTCTTAGGAGGGACACTAGTGAGCAGATATTGCCAGTTTGCCGAATTGTGAGCACTTACGGGCGAGCTACGCCAGTAGTGGATCGTTGATTGCAAGCCTTTTCGCTGATGAAGGCGAGTGCGGTATCTCGCCCTACCGGGTGCTTGCCATACTTCCCTTCCCTACCGTTCGGATTCCAACTTTCCTTAGCTTCTTCTCATCACCCACAGCATTAACCTCTGGCTTGGCTTTTTCTATGTGCATGCACTATAGATAGGTACGCTGGTAAATGCGTGCCTATTATTATAGACTTTAGCGGCGGAAGTTTAGCCCCTTTTCTCCTTTTTGACCCTGCTATGGGCATCAGTACATCGGACTACATCCGGACTTCAGACGTGCAGTGCCTCTTTTTTCGGAATTGGCGGAACTCTTTTACATGCTCGGTCAAACACATTATCGGCGTCCCATCTTGCCGACACCCCTTGTTGCTGCAAGAAGTTATGGCAGACGCCGGGATCGAGATCAGTGTGACATCTGCCGGCGTCTACCGGCGACGATGCGACCACATGATCCTGTTTCCAGTCTCCTACTCCCATGAAATCTATACACTGATCAGCTCACTTTTCGTTTATAGCTGTGTACCAAGATGTGGGGACAATTTGCCCTGGCGAGAGTTTTCTGGATTGGAAGCTCTCACATGGGCAGCAGAATGTAGTTGAAGGCAGCTTTGTGAATGGTCTAATGGCGAAGGTTGAGGTGCAGGTTTTCTTTTTCTTTGCTTGATCTCCCTGTGCTCCCTCGTGCGGTTTGTCGTCTTAGTAAATTCTTACACCAAAAATTTGCCTGACCAATTTATGCGGAAGTCATCACAAATCTGACTGCAAATACTCTCTCTCTCTCTCTCTCTCTCTCTCTCTCTCTCTCTCTCTCTCTCTCTCTCTCTCTCTCTCTCTCTCTCTCTCTCTCT